GTATTGGTAGACAATTTTAATGTAGATAATTTTAGGTTTACATTTAAACCCGCAAAATTTGAGAACAATTTGTGCGGACACGCACCGTGGAGTTGCAAAATTTTGAATTCGACCTTCAAGCCTTTTGCCAAACTTATCTATATTTTAAATTTTGTGCATATGTATGACCGCATTCTTTCTGAACGTAGCCTGAACATTTTTTAGGGAGAAACATTTGGGGTACCTATTCATACTTGCCTGGTTAAAAGATTAACTGGTGAAAAATTATTATTTTCTAGTGTATTTTGGTTTTGTAAACTGTGTTAACAATATAAGTACATAACCAGATGATTTGTATTTCCGTCATCCCTTGTCAAGTTTGATTTGCAGACAAACCGGTTTCAGCATTGTATCATCTTCAGTGTAATTTTTCGTTCTGTCTGGTTCGGTTCTTAATTTATGTTCATTTATCTTAGGTAATGTAATTTTCATCGCTGATTAATTATTAGATATGGCATTGTATATTTTTTTTTAGAAGCAGGTAATAGATTCATCTTCGCTGCCCCAATATTAACATCCGCTTTGTTGTGGCTGTATGGTCGGTGATTTTTGCGCTGGTAGTACTTTTTGATGTGTTCGCAGTGTCCATGCCTGTTGTTTTGTTGTAATTTTTATTTTTTTCGTAAATCAATTTTAAGGATTCGAATATAACATCCGATGCGGTATTTGTTTGTTCGTTTATTATTTGGCCGTCGAAGGTTTTTAGTTTGTATACTTCCATATTTTCTAGTACGTTTAGTCGTTGGGCTTTATGTTGTGCATGCAGTAATTTCGCTGCCTTTATTATTTGCGTTGGTTAGCGAAATTTGACTCTGGTATTGCGCTCGGTTTCTGTGTATTTTTGTTATAGTCTCGGTGGTTCGAAATATTATATATTATTGTATCTGTGGCTGTGGGCTTCCTAAAAATTTTATATTGCAGACTACTGGTGCTTTTATTTATTTTAATTGCCAGATCTAAGTAATTTAGCTTTCCTTCCATTTCGGCAAGAATGGCTCACATGTTAATTAGGGCACATCAGTCTCCATAAAAAAATCCGCATTATATTTCCATCAAAATTTTAAAATTTATTATATTTTAAGACCTCCGCCAAAACCGACCGATTGGAAAATACTTCCAAAAATCTATTTTTTTTATGAATAAATATAGTTTTTAAAAATATTTTTCCCAAAAATCACCTCGGATTATAGCAGAGTTAAGCCCTCAAGGTGTGTTTAAAAAGTTTAAAGTTTATCAGCGGCATCAAAACACGATATTTCTGAAAGTATTGTCAAATCGTTCCAGCTCCGAAATGTTTTGGCAGGAAGCTTAGAATATATAAGTTTTATGATTCCGGTGAAAAATCCGTACATTTTTTTGGAGAGGTATTTATGTACACTGGAATGATCCCAAAATGCTTGCGAAAAAAGTAAAGTCGGATTTTTCTATTTCGAAAAAAAGAAAGTTTCCCATGCGTTTTGAGAAGAACACTTAGAAAAAGACCAATATAAGAATGAAAGTAAAGCTGAGTACGTATATAGATAAAGAAAAGGATAAAGACAAATTTAAAAATAAAAACAAAAACAAAAAAAGCGTAAAGATAAAGGCAAAAATGAAGACCAAGGTAAATTTAAACATTTTACTACTTATATAAGGGCAAAGGTGAAGAGGAATATGTAGATGAAGAAAATGATAAACATAAAAGTAAAAACAAAGATAAATATAAAGAAAAAGAAGAGCATACCGATAAAAGTAAAGATGAAGATAGGGGGAAAAACATTAAAATAAAAATAATTATAGAGAAAAGGATATAGATAGAGACACAGAGACTCAATCTGGAACTATTTTGAGATTTTAGAGATTTTCGGGAT